TGTACCCACAATTTAAAAAAAAAAAAGTAGTTGTAGATTAACAGCATGCCTTTATTTTATTTCCTTAGTTTTGGTGCTGAGGATTGAACCCAGTGTCTCACTCTTGCTAGGCAAGCGTTCTGCTTTTGAATCCCAGCCCTAGCACCCACACTTCTATCCATTGTGATCCAACTTTGCTCCCAGAGATCTTTTAAACTGTTCTTAGTAAATTCTTGGTTGATAAATCCAATGTACATTTTTCAATTTTGATTTTTTTTATTTGTAATTTTTTGGCGGGATCCTTTAGTTGACCAACAGTCTTATTGGCTTCTATGTCCCCTGGATCCAAAGTTTGTAGGGTTTGGTGGAGTGCCTGGCACATAATGTTTTGATGAATTGAAATGGAAAAAAAAAATGGATCAGATGGCATAGGCTATAATATCTTGCTTGAAAGATCTTTGAATAGAAAAGCAGTATCACATTCTTTTGGAAAGTGAACTATAGGGCAATGGATGGTTTGAAGCACTGGTTTGCTAAGTGCTGTGTGGAACCAATTAAAGGAAAAATTCTTGGGCTTCACTCCTGACCTACTGATTCAGAAAATCTGGAGGTGAGGCCCACTAATGTGCATATTTGATGAAACACAAAATTTAGGGAATCACTGGTTTAGAGGAGAAATGAAAACAGCTATCAAAAGCTATAAAGTCTGGAAGGTGAAATAGAGTGAGGTACGTGCAGAGAATATGTAGTACTTAACCACTTACTGAATAGGGGGCTCAGACATTTTGGGGGATTGGGGTTGGGGAGCTACTGATTTAGAGGACAGGCAGCCCCAGTACTGTCTATGAAATCTGTCATTCACTCATTCATTCAATAGATGGTTACTGGAAGGCTTGGTATTACCAAAAACACAGGCTGACCCCTGCAAGATCATCACTGTTCTATCAGACCACTCCTTCCAAGATCCTTGTAGATAGAAACTGAGCAATTTTAGTTATTAGTGGCAGACAGTGGGGTTTCTCTAAGACACATCTCTGTGAACACAGAATATTCAACAATCAAACTTAACATCTGCCATTACCAAGAGGTTTAATTTTTCTTCACAAAAAGTTTCAGCTGATCCAATAGGCAGTCACGAGGCCCTGAGGAAGTTTAGATATGCAGTGGCTCTCAGTAGTACAGTTCTACAAACCAGTTTCCTAAGATCTCCAAGGTAGGAGTGTACTACATATAGAACAGAACTCTTGATTGTAAGCTAGAGAAAGCCAACTAATTGATTTAGGCTGAAAAGAAATGTAATCAATGGACAAAAATCAATCACAAAGCTGGGAAACCACAGGAACAATGGCAACTAATCAGTTAGGTTCATGTCAAATATACACATAGCAATGGCTACTATTCAACGCCAGATGCAAGCTCACCTATGGCCTCACTGAATGTGGGTAGTGGCTATTGTGCCCTATTGATAATTAGAACTGATGCTTTCAACATGGACTCCCGCTTATCCAGCTTTTTTTTTTTCTTTCCCTTTTCCCTAGACAGAGAAGGATGTCCCATATGCAAAGGAGGTTGGGATATGAAATTTTTGCTTCTAGAGGTGGTTTGGTGGATTGTGCCATCCAAACTCTGGGATGGGATTCATATGTGGAGGGATGATGATTATTATTATTTTTAATTAAGAAAGAAAATCCACTGATGTAAACCTGCAGGTCATAAGCAATTTTCAAGTTAGAAAGAACTTAACACATTATTTAGATCAGACTCCAAAAGTAAACCCCCTTAAAATGCTTTTTAAAAACCAATATCAGTAAATTATATAAAAGGGCATTTTTTTTCTGTCTATAGCTGCCCTTCCTATTTTATTCAAACTTACACTTGCTTGTCAACCTCTAAGATACCTACAAAAAAATTCTGAGTTCTATTGTGACATTAAACAAATAAAAAAACCAAACTATTTTAATAGTTTTAAAAATTTCTAGAAGGCTGAGCAACTGAGCAGGAACAAAATTTAGTGAATCCAAGATTAGAAAAGTCAAGCTGAATTTACTTTAATGTCATAGAGTAGTTAGAGCTAAACAGGAGAACTTTGTGGTCTACTATCAACATTTTTTTTCAAACCAGACTCTTAGTCTCCATTTCCTGAAAAACAAAGTACTACGACTTAAAAGTTTGAAGAGTTTTCCCAGGGTTAAGATTCTTCTAGCAAGAAAACATAGGGGAAACACTTGATTGGCACAGGTAATGATTAACTGGATAGGAACTTTTGGGCAGGCACAGTGTGTCTGGAGATGCATCACTGGGGGTATCCCTTTGGGGTTTATATTTTGTCTATGGTGAGCAGAGCTGTTTCTTGGTGGCCATGTCCTGAGCTGCTTTCATCCCCCATGCCCTTCTGCCTTGATCTGTCCCAGAGCAGTGGAGTTGGCCCTCTAGGGACTGAGATCTCTGAAACTATGAGCCCTTAATAAACTTTTCTCCTCTAATTGTTCCTGTCAGGTCTTTTGCTCACAGTAATGAAAAAGCTTACTAAAACATGATCTGAATAGATACTTCTCAAAAGTATAAATGGTCAATAAATATATATATATAAAAAAATGTTCCATATTTTTAGCTGTCAGGGAATGTGAGTCAAAAACTGTACTGAGATTCCAACCTACTACAGTTAGAATGGCTATTACCAGAACTAGAACTGCCCCCCAACCCCCAAATCACAAATGCTGATAAGGGTGTGGAGAAAAATGCTTATATATTGTTGGTGAGAATGGGAGTATGATAATTAGTACATGCACTATGGGGAACAGTATTGGGGTTACTCAAAAACTAAAAGTATAACTACCACATGATCCAGTTATTCTACTTCCTGGTTACATATCCAAAGGAAATGAAGTCAGCATATAAAAGCAATACCCATAGGGGCAGGGGATGTGGCTCAAGCAGTAGCACGCTCGCCTGGCATGCGTGCAGCCCGGGTTCGATCCTCAGCACCACATACAAAGATGTTGTGTCCGCCGAAAACTAAAAAATAAATATTAAAAAATTCTTTCTCTTAAAAAAAATAAAAATAAAAGCAATACCCATATACCCATGTTTATTGTGTTACTATTCACAGTGGCCAAGATCAGCAATAAGCCTTCTTGCCCATTAAATGAACAAAGAAAGAAAATAAGGTATATATAAACAATGATGTACAACTCATCATAAAGAATGAAATCCTGCCATTTGCAGGCAAATGGATAGAATTGGAAGACATGTTAAGTGAAATAAACCAGGGCGAGTTTTGCATGTTTTCTTTCCCAAAACAACAATCAATTAGTCAAAGAGACCTGAAAGCAGCAAAGGGACTCTCAGGTTAGGAAAGGGGTATAGGAGAGGGTAGAAGGGAGGGTAGACACGAAGAAAACATGATATATGCTTGTATGGAAATGCCACAGTTAAACCTATTAATTTGTATAATTAATCTGTGTGTTAATTACAAATTATTTTTTCTATTAAATGTTTCAATTCGCAAATATTTATTCATAATCTGCCTCTGATCTTTTGAAGATTTACCTCGTTTTAAATTATTATCACAAACACATCATATAAAAATAACTTTAAGTATTATTAAAAGGGCAATTTGTTACATCCAGATTCATAATGCTAATACCACCCAAAGAATATTAAAAATAGATCAAGATCTCAAATATTTTATTTTCCTATTTTTAATATTCTTTAAAAATCCAGTTAAAAAAAATTCCTAACAGTTTTATTCTTAGTAGTTCAAAGTGGAAACAACCCAAACACATCTATGAACTTCAGAGTGAAGAGAGGATAAACAGACTGATTTCAATACATTCATACAAAGGAACACCAGTCAGCAAAAAATGGGAATGCACTATTGATCTAACATGCACTACACTGAGCTAACATAAATGAATTTCAAAAGCATACAGATGAGCGAAAAAAGTCAAAGGCAAAAGAGTACATACTGTATGAGTACACTTAAAATTCTAAGGCAGGCACAGGAAAATTATGGTGATAGAGATCAGAACTATAGGCGGAGATGGAGTGAAATAATTAGAAAGGGGAGCAAAGGTAGTAATAACTGAATACCTATATACATTTGTTAAAACTCAAAACAATGTCCTTAAAACATTACACACTAATTTATTTACTTTGCAGTTTGTACTTGCCTAACACATTATTAGGCAAATACTCTCCACTGAACTTCTCCCCTAGCCCTGCACTCCAATTTAAAAAATTACACATATATCCAGTAAGTCACAGGAATCCTTTGAATCTTTATTTCCTGCTTCTGGAATCTTGGGACACAGGGACTATCAAGTATCAAAGACAATGTAGAGAGAAAAAAATAATGTAAGAGTCTCATAAGCCTTATTTTTTGGGCACAGTGTTGGGGATGGAGCCCATGGCCTTGCACATGCCAGACAAGCACTCTAATGTTGAACTATGTCTCCAGCAAGACAATTCTAAGTTAGACTCCCTAAACATGAAACATAACTCTCATTACAAGTCAACTTTTAAAAAAACAGGCACTCTTAAATACATGCGCTGAAGGTAGCAGATAACAAAATATTTATTTTATTGTAAAATTAAAAATAGTAGACAAGCATATATACAGTTCCAAAGCAGAATACAAATATATAAATTATTGCAATTTTCAAAGAAAATATAACAACAAATAATGTCTAAATAAACTTTTTTGAAACAAAGCTAGTTTTGACCATAGCAGTTTCATTTTCTTTTTTCAAATGTCTTAGCACAATTTTGTAAAATATATTTGTAACATCAAGCAAGATTAGCTCAATGATCATAGTATATGTTACTCAGATTTAAAGCAAGATTTATACATACAGACACATTATAAAAGTAGAAATGGCATTCAACAGCAATTACTACCAAATACTTTCTAAATTGCCTCTTTTGAAAGTAGTAGGATAGGGAAAAAAAATTAGACAAGTGTAAAGGAATCTAAAACACTCTTTAGTGCACTTGGGGGAAATTCAATTAACACTTTTTTGGGGAAAGGGTAGTATTCATCTCCATGATTTTTGTTGTTGCACTTTGGTAAGTTTAAAATTCAAAATCACTGAGATGCACTTCTAATATGAACTAAACTTAAAACAGCAGAGAAAGATATGTTATAAACTAGGTGTTAAAAAAAAGTAATGGAACCAACTTGCAATAATATGATTCACAGCAAAGTAATCATATAACCATAGCCTGAAGTTACTTAATAGGTTAGCCTACACCAAAACAATGACAAACGTGAAAGGCAAATATGGAGATGCAAGATGGAACCTCAATATCCCAAACACAGAATTGTAGCCCTCCTCCTTTGGGCCAAATCCCATTATCTTATTACTCTGGTAAATAAATGCTCCTTTATCCCATTACCACTTAACTTCGCAAGCATAACTTGTTGAGAGCTTTATCTCTTACTAATTTTTACCACAGATTTCCTCAAATAATCATTTCCACAAATCTTAAGTGAAAAATGCAATCATATACTGAAATCAAATCAGTTATGTTTGCTTTACAGTCACATCTGAACAGATGGTATCTGAAAATCTTATAGAATATTAAACTTAATATGTACTTAAAATACTCAAATATCTTATTTTAGCATAAGCAATGTTATTACATGTCTATAAATGAACTGGCAAAAGTCATAAAATATAACACTACAAGGACTTTACACAATATTCCATTTAGAAGTTTTCATGTACATCTAACTTTACAGTTATTAATCTGAACCTAATAGACTATACAAATAGTTTAAAATTTCTACTTAACTTTAGAGCTCAAACATTTTTTATGACATTTTATAATGTTAACAATAAAAGCAGACTTCCTCTAAAATAAAACAATAAAATCAAAATAGGTAAACTTTAACACAAAAAGAGATCTAAAAAACTTATTTAAAAAAACTAGCAAAAACTGGTAAGTCTCAACAGTGTAAACACCAAGGTAAACAATTATTTTAAAAAACCCCAAACACTTTAAACCATTTTCAATGGCAGAAATACTGTAAAACAAAACCAAGAAATCTATCAAGATGACAATAAAATATATTTCAATTATATTTTTGTAATAATTTTCCAACATGAACTTTCTATTTAAAAATAACTCTTAAATGCATATAAAAATGGGCACTTTATGGTAAAATGAACATGTACTTTGAAAAACTAAGAACATCTCTTTGCTCTGATATCAGCATATGGGAAAGAAACTACATAATGGAATAGAACATCATTTGGCTGCCTGAATCATGTTATTGGTATCTCAAGTGCATGTCTTTTTAAGGACTTAGATATTAACACCAGGATTAATGGATAAGATGATGAATCTCAAAAGTAAATATTACAACAATTTAAACACTTTATTTAGTTACTTATCTTTTTGTGATGCTGGGTATCAAATCCAAGGCCTTATCACATTTGACTTCCAGTTTTCTAAAACTCAATTTGTCTAATTACGAAACTAATACAAAAAAAAAAAAAAAAAAAAAGCTCTGAAAATGTCAGTAGTGTCTCACTGGCAGTGATTTTTTTTTTTTTTTTGCCATTTTTGAAACTGAAGTCATACGTGAGATATTTTTCTAAACTTTCTCAAAATGTACTAACAACTGTACAAAACAGCCAAATATGGAATTTGTGATTTCATGTTCTCTCAAGTTATAATTCAACTCTGTTCCTGAACCTTATTTTAGCATACAATACTTGCATATTCAATCAACAAAGGATGAGAATATATAAGTTTACCAAATATTTGGATAGACTGCTATGCAAAATATTTCAAAATTTTTTTCCTAGAAGTTCATCTGAGTAAGTACTAGTGTGAATACCAGCACCATAGACAGTTTAGGAGCACCTTTCCCTTGAAAACAAGCTTAAGCAGAACTATCTAAATGGAATAAATAGAAGTCCTCAATTAAACCTTAGTACATGCACAATCCTACCCAATCATTCTGAACTCATTAGTAAAAGCTATGTATTTGCCAAAAAACTCTAAGGGATAAGCAAACATTTCCTTTGGATAACACTACTGTATTTAGGACTGTACCATATGGCTCATATTCTGGAAATATGCTACTCCTGATATGAAATGCAACACATCCCAAACTTTTATGACTGTCCCAAAGTTATCTAAACAGAAGCCCAAATATGTGCAACTACTCAGGCTGGTAACATTCTTAATGAATTATGCTAAAAAAGAGTAAAGTCAAATTTGAAAATGTAACCATAACAACTAAGCACTAAAATACTAACTGGCATAATCAGCACAAGTCTTTAGTCAACGTATACATTTGGATATTTTCATATTGCACGTATTCAATTTAAAGCTTATTAAAACTAAGGCAATGCATCCACATTCCTACTCCCTGGATTTAAAATTCATTCTGGATGACTCAAAGAATTGAGAGAAACTGAAAGAATATTTCAAGAGCTCCCTATAAAAAGCTTGACAGTTATGTCATATTTTAAAGAAAAATTAAATCAATGAGATTAGCAATTATTATCCTCAGTCCAGTTTCATACATCTTAGCATTATAGAAAGTTCCCTTCAATGAGACTGAAGAATATCTTAAATACTGTTTGTGTTTAAGACTAAAATCTGACCCAACCTGGGATAAGCTGCCAAATTTAAGCAGAAGTCATTCATATCTTTATGTATGAGGCTGCTGAGTGAATAGACAGACTTCTCTGTAGATTCTTTCAACCAAAGGATCTACCTCATAAATACATTCTAAGCACCAGCAGAAAACAGAATTTAGAATCCACTGGTATTTTTCATTGATTATAGTATTTGCTGTAATACATCATTAAAACTATCTAGCTGCTTGATAGTTAACAACTCTTTGGAAACATCATAGGCAGCTTATAAGCATAACCTTCTAAACATAGGATTATTGAATTAGAAGCTTTATTTTTCTAATATCAAGCAATGTTATCTTAGATTCTAAAATTTAGAAAAACACCTTACAAAGCTTTCTTGGAACACTAATTTCAATGACACTGATAACAGAATTCAGACAATTTAAGAATTCTTGAAATTATGTGAAGTGGAAAATAAGTTTTTTCCAAAATAGGACACTTTCAGATTGAAGATATTACTTTTGACGTGGAAGTGAGGCTTGACTTACTCTATCTAAATTTTAACACAACAAAGTCATTAGAATGAAAGTAATAATAAAGTAGAAAAGGTTTTCACTTCTATGGAGGCAAAATTAGATTAGTATCTTCTTCCTAAGCCATCTCAGAACTACTTTTGTTAGAAAATAATAATGTATTTTATATACTTGGATATTTACTTTAAAAAGTTATTCTTATTTTCATAAGTTATTAGAAGTTAAAACAACTCAATTAGATAGATTTCTACTCCAAAATACATTTATCTTTGGAAGGAAAGATAACAACTGTAAAAACATCATATTTAAGAGAATAAAATGAAGTGATCTGAAATATAGGTGAGCATATTCACACATATAAGTGTAAATATACAAAGCCATTCAAATACACATTTACAAAGAGAATGAAAAGGTACCTAAAATAGCATTTTTATATATAAAATTTTTTATATTAAAATATTGCTCATAGTAAATAAGAGGTGTTTATTATGAATCCCATTTCCCTTTTAAAATTATCTTTAGTAATTCAGGCTAATATATGGAGTTTGTTAATCTATTGTTTTGACAATAAAATCACACTGTAACAGTATTTTTAAACATACACGTGATAAAAGTTAGGGAGAGACATTTAGTGATTATGAGAAAGATTCCCAAAATGAAGCCAAATGATTATCCTAGAAGACTAGGGTATAATGATCTGCTTTATTAGACAAAGATGTTAAATACTGTGCCTTAAGCTTTGCAAATTTAATGACCATAAAAAAAATGGACCGTAACCTTCTTTAAAACTTCTTCAAGTTGCATTCTTGGCAGACTGATAAAAAATAATTAGTTCAGTTGTTTATGGGTAGGTGTGTCTTCATTCCTGTTCGTCCTACTTGTAGGCATGGTAACTTGGAATAGTTCTTGAGAAGCTGTTCAATGGCGACATGACGGACATGGAGCTCTGAAGATAAAGAATCTTTTTCTTGTACTTGATGTGTTAACTCTTCAAATACTTCTGTAGAGATTTTAAAAAATTGCCTTTTTAGTACACAGAAAACTAAAGCGAATCCTATGACTTATATTTTCAAAATATATAAGTACTCTGAAAGGAATGCATTGGGAAAATTTAAGCAATGAAATTGAATTGACTTCAAGGAAAGAGCTGGGTTCTCAAAGATTATTTAGTTCTGATCATCCTTGGAAGTCTCTGTAGTTTGAAACTTAAAAAGAGTCACAAGCAATAACTACAGACCCACACAGCAGAAATGGTGGTTACCATTATAGCTGAGCCACTTCTCAATTAGGATCTCTAAATAGGTTTCACCAATACGCAATAAAATTTATGTGTGCATAGAAAGTGCCCATTAATAACCAGGTCTGGAAACTTCTCTAAGAGGCTTTGGAATCAGATTATCTAAATTTTCAAATTCTTAGTCCTACTATTATGTACCTCAAGCAAGTAATTTACAGCTTTCTATTTCAAATTTCTTTTATGTTTAAGATTGAAAATAATAGTGCTGGGGCACTGTGGCTTATGCCTGTAATTCTAGCAGCTCAGGAGCCTGAGACAGGAACATTACAAATTCAAAGCCAGTCTCACTAACTTAGTGAGACCCTGTATCAAAATATAAAATAAAATGGGCTGGGGATGGTTAAGTGTCCTTGGTTCAATTCCTCATACAAAAAAAGAAAAAAAAAAAAAGAAAGTAAACACTAAACAGGGTTACTGCCAGGATGAAATGAGATCATATTTGTAAAATACAAAGAATAAGTACTTGATGAATACAAATTGCTATTACTATCATCATCATCATAATCACTCTCAGTCTATAGTTAAGACTATTAGCTTTGGAGTTAAAAATGGTTTAGAATCCTTGATCTGTTACTGATTGAATGGCATAACTTTGTAAAAAATGGCTGAAAGTCTCCAAAGTGCAATATCCTCACCTAAATGGGAACAAATTATAAAGAAAAAAAGAGGGAGATAATTAGAGCTTTATTAACTCTTGGTGTTAACATCATATTTGATGATGGTAAGGAATTATTAGCATTTTAAAAGGTATGAGATAATAAGATTGTAAGATTTTTCTTCTTTTTAAAGTCATCTTTTAGGGAAAATCTTGGAGTGTTTATGGACAAAAAAAATGTTTTCTGGGACTTGTTTTTAAAATAATCCAGGCTGGAGAGGAAGTGGGGCAAGAGGAATGGATACAAGTAGAAATGAAGAAAAATTAGCTATGCATTGATAATACTGAAGCTGGTAAAGATGGGTAAAATTTCACTATGTTGGTGTCACTACATTTATATGTTTTAAAAATTGTTCATAATTAAAATAAAACAAGCCAGGCACTGTGGCACATTTCTGTAATCTCAGGGGCTTGGGAGGCTGAGACAGGAGAATTGCTAGTTCAAAGGCAGCTTAAACAACATAGGAGGGCCCTAAGCAACTTGGTGAGATCCTATCTCCAAAAAAAGGAAGGGGATGTGGCTGAGTGGTTAAGCACCCTGGGTTCAATCCCTGGTATCCAAAACAAAACAAAAATCAGGGCTAATATTATCTTCCTTAAAGAACTATCAGGGAGCACATCCACAATCCCTGGCACAGTAGTTCATAATCAGTAAAATGTTAGTAACAGGTTAACTCTAGTATCCATTTTTAATTAGAAAAGGAAAGGACCAATTTCCCCTGCAGTTCATAAAGAAGTTGTTTTCTTATTCTCTTTGCTCTGTAAACTAAAAAATTCAAATTTCTATTTTCCAAATATAAATGCTGCTAAAGCCAATGGTGTCTTGTCACAGAGGATTTCTGATTCAAAATTTTCATGTGAAAAAACATTTAAGAATGATTCTTTACCCTGGATTTGTTGCCGGAGCTTTGCATTCAGTTGCTCTACCTCACCAAGAGTCATCAAATTCACTGAAACATGAAAATACATTCATTGTTACCACTACAATATAATTTGCCTAATATAATAATATTATTTGCCTAATAAGTTGCCTAATACGGCATCCTATTTTTAAAAATTGCAGTTATCTGCCAACGTAACACTAAAGAGTACCCCAGAATTCATTCATTAGCTCTTATTAATATGGAGAACTTTTCAAATACACCTACCACATTTGACATTTCTAGCAGTAACAAACCCTCCAGCAGAAGCAAAAGTTTCACAAAAAATATTTAATAGTAGGTCTGTTGAATTGTGGTATCTCCAATTCTATTTTAGGTTTTAAAAAGTGCTAGTCTTTACCCATCAAGTCCCTTCTGACTCTAAGTATCTGATTCAAAGTCAATTAATATTACCTTAGTTTCTGTGATTTTTATTCATATAAATAGGCAGTTACTTTTTCTAAGTTTTAAATAAATGCATACATTATTTTTTAGCCTTTAGTAAAAATGTCAGATTTTTGCTTTTAAATGCCACACCCAGTCAGTATGGTATTGATTAGCAATGTGACAATGTGTATTAGCCAATAGTTGAGGCTATACTTCTGAACTATATGAACCCTGAACTTGCCAATTGAGTTTGCTGATTCCATTCAATTTAATCATTAAAATAGCAAAACAAACGATAGAGAACTCCCAAACATCAACACGTGAGACATACACATGACTATTCTAAAACATAGTGTTTTAAAAGCTGCTTTAAATACAAATCATTTTTGCTAAGGTGAATCTTTTATTAAATACTATGCTTAACCAATCTGTGGTTCTAAATCAAAATTCTTGACACATCCTTCATTTATAAAACTGCAAAAACCCAAACAAAACCCCTCCAAAACAACCAAACAATACATCCACTCCAAACTTCTGTTTACCTCTCTTCCCATTTCACTTACATTCCTCTCTGCTGTAATGTAGACTCTGGGTCTGGCCATTAGCATCTGGACTTGAGAGAGTCTCTTCTTTTTTTTGTGCCTGGTTATGACTGTGAGGCCATAACATGCTGTCATGGCATAAGGTGGCACCTGAATCTTGTAACACAGCAAGGCCAAAGTCTGTATTTTCCCTCTGCTCCAAAATTGTTTGTGTACAGTTTGAGATGGCACCTGTACTTCCATCTATCCATTTTGCAGAATATTTTGGTACTTGAGAGTCAAACTGTGGGAGTAATTTTTTATCTGTTTTATGCCTAAAATTAAACAGATGATGTTGGGGATTTTTAGAACATTCGGAATCTGATTCCAGGTCTTTATTTTGTGCATACTGTACAATCCAGTTTATCTTCTTACTCAAAATAGTTTTAACTCCTTCATAAGTACTTTTGGTAAGTTTAGATCGAGAACAATCCTGGTTTGCAATTAAATGGTATTTTTCAAAGCAGTCTTTATGGCCCCTTAATGACTTGGTGTGCAAAAGATTAGATTTTGGTACTCCTATAGGAAGAAAAGAAAGAAACGTTTATGTTTATAAGCTACTTTAAATACAAATCTTAGTAAAACAGTCCCTTATAGCTTATAAATTAGAGGAAAAATGCTACAGAATATTGGCATTAATAATATAAAATGTGGCCTAATAACTTGCGTTTCAATTTAACTATATATTCAGTAATATTCTTATAAAAAAACAATGCCTTCCTAAGAACTTAACGATTCAATTTTAATCCTAGTCCATCAAGAGTCATTACAAAAAACATTACTGAACCCAGAAGTTTATTCTTCTTTTGGGTGTAGGGTACTGGAGATTGAACTCAGGGGTACTTAACCACTGAGCCACATCCCTAGCACTTTTCTGTATTTTATTTAGAGATAGGGTCTTGCTGAGTTGCTTAGGGCCTCTTTAAGTTGCTGAGGCTGGTTTTGAACTAGTGATCCTCCTGCCTCAGCCTCCTGAGCTGCTGGGATTACAGGTGTGTGCCACTGTGCATGGCCAGAACTTTAATGACTCCTGGCCTTTTCATCAATGCTTTCCTTACAAATCTTCCTGAAGTGCACACCTGCAAAAGTTTCTTTTATAAGGCTCAATATCAGAAATGCTCAAGCCCCTCCTCCCCCAAACAAAAGATAAACCATGTTCTTAAATTACTAGTTCTGTTTTTATTGGAGAGATAACCAGAACCAGAAAATATACAATAAAAGACTTAAAAAGTTAATAAACTGTTTGTCAAGTTAAAAAAAAGAAAGAAAAATGAAAGCATCTAATATTTTCATTTTCATTTTATAGTAAAACTTTCAAGATAATTTTATCTTCAAGAAGAAATGCATTATACACAATTATTATTTATATAGCTGTAAGCTCAATCAGCCAAGATTCAGTAACCAGTACAATTCAATTCACAAAAATTCATTATATACCATAAATAATGAAATTATTTATATTATATACTATAAATAATGAAATTATTTATATTCCACTTTATATTTCCTGATTTCCTAATAAACTATTCTAACTTGATTTTTTAAAATTTAGAATACATTTTCAAACATATAACAAATACATAATCATATGCTAAATTATCTATCAGTTCCTTCAAAAGTTATCTTAAGCTATGTGAGCATACCTCCAGAACATTAATATTATAGCCACATAGGAACAGCTGTTCTCATGAGGTACATTCAAACATCGAACTTTGTTTTTTCCAATGTGCATAAAAATTGTTAAATAATTTCATAAGACTTTCCTACTTACATGGTAAGTACAAGTTTTATTTACTACTTTGCTGGTGATGATGTGGGAAAAAGATACACTCATACATTGCTGGTAGGACTACAAATTAATACAACCACACTCCATAAAGCTGTATGAGGATTCCTCAAAAGATTAGGAATAGAACCACCATATGATCCAGCTATCCCACTTGTGGGTATTTATCCAAAAGAACTAAAATGAGCATACTACAGTGATACAGGCACATCAATGTTTAAAGCAGTGCAATTCATAATAGCCAAGTCATGGAACCAGCCCAGGTATCTATCAACAGATGAATGGATTATAAAAATATGGCATATATACACAATGGATTTTTATTAGCCATAAAGAAGAATGAAATTATAGCATTTGCTAGTAAATGGATGGAAAAGGAGAACATCATGCCAAGTGAAATAAACCAGATCCAGAAAGTTAAGGATTGAATGTTTTCTCTATTATGGGGAAGCTAGAACAAAATAAGGGAAAACAGTGGGGGCAGGAAGGACAGAGCCCAAAGAAATCAGAAGGGAGATCAGTGAGGCAGTAGAAGGGGACCCAAGGGAGGCATGAGGTATAGGAAAAAATGAGCACTTGTGAAATGAAACTGACCAACTTGTACTCTGTATCTATATGAACGTACCACAGTGAATTCCACATTATGTCTCTAGAGGAAGAAGAATAGAGTGTGGGAAGTGAGGCAAGTATTGAGGACAGAAATGGAGCAATTATATTCCACAAATACATGATTATGTCCAAATGATCCCCACTATATGACTATAATGCATCAATAAACTTTTTTCTATTTTTTAAAAATTTTATTTATTCTAATTTTTTATATATGAATGCAATTCAATTCATAGTACACACACATACAGAGGACAATTTTTCATGTCTCTGGTTGTACACAAAGTAGAGTCACACCACTCATATCTTCATACATGTACTTGGGGTAATGACGTGCATCTCATTCCACCAACTTTCCACCTAACCCTAACCCTAACCCTAACCCTAACCCTAACCCTAACCCTAACCCTAACCCATGCCCCCTCCCTTCTCCTCCTTTCCCTTTGCACTATTTAAAGTTCCTCCCTTCCTCTGATCCAAGCCCCCCAATCCCATTATGGATCAGTATCCTCATATCAGAGAAAACACTCAGCATTTGGTTTTTTGAGATTGGCTTACTTTACTTGGCATTATATTCTCCAGTTCCACTCATTTACCTGCAAATGCCATGATTTTATTCTCTTTTAATGCTGAATAATATTCCATTGTGTATAAATACCACATTTTCTTTATCCATTAATCTACTGAAGGGCAATGGTACAGAATAGAGAACACAGAGACTAACCCACATAATTATAGTTATCTTATATTAGACAAAGGCACTAAAAATGCTCATTGGAGAAAAGATAGCCTCTTTAACAAATGGTGCTAGAAAACTGGAAATCCATATGCAACAAAATGAAATTAAGCCCCTGTCTCTCACCATACACAAAACTCAACTCAAACTGGACCAAGGACCTAGGAATTAAACCAGAGATCCTGCATCTAATAGAAGAAAAAGTAGGTCCAAATCTCCATCATGTCGGAGTGGGCCCTGACATCCTTAATAAGACTCCTATAGTGCAAGAATTAAAATCAAGAATCAATAAGTGGGATGGATTCAAACTAAAAAGCTTCTCAGAAAAAGAAACAATCAGTGAGGTGAACAGAAAGCCTACAGAATGGGAGCAAATTTTTACCACATGCACATCAGATAGAACACTAATCTCTAGGATATATAAAGAACTCAAAAAAACACCAAAAAAAAAAAAATCAATAAATGGGCCAAAGAACTGAACAGACACTTCTCAAAAGATGATATACAATCAACAAATATATGAAACAATGTTTAACATCTTTAGCAATTAGAGAAATGCAAATCAAAACTACTCTAAGATTTTATTTCACTTCAGTCAGAATGGCAGCTATTAAGAATATGAACAACAATAAGTGTTGGCGAGGATGTGGGGAAAAAGGCACACTCATACATTGCTGGTGAGACTGCAAACTGGTGCAGCCAATATGGAAAGAAGTATGGAGATTCCTTGGAAAATTGGGAATGGAACCATCATTTGACCCAGCTATCCCACTCCTTGGTCTATACCCAAAGGAGCATACTACAGGAATGCAGTACTTCAATGTTTATAGCAGCACAATTCACACTAGCTAAATTGTAGGTCCAATATAAACATTTTAAAAGATGTTTTTCTATCTACCTTAATAGATTTTTCTCCCATAAACCTAGCAATTACAACATCTTAAATCATTCATTTCCCTCCATTCACTGCAAATTGAAGTCATCATCATCATCCGTGTAGTTCTCACCTTCTCTAAGAATCCTTCTCTAACCAATACATCTTGGATAGTTTATTTAACAACTGCCTCTTTATTAGAGGTTATCTCTTGATACTAGGAAAGTTCTATTTAAGAGGGGATTTTCCTATTTTTCTATTTTCCACATATGCATTCTCAGTGTTATTGTGTCTGGCATATAGCAGGTACTCAAGAAAAAGCAACTATATTAGAAAAAAATTAAAACTATGTTTTTAAAAATCCCAAACAAACCTTATTACCAATTATCATTTACAGTCTACTACAATGAAGTTTTGCCAGTACTAGGAAGAATGTGCAGTTCTACCAGGCTGCTCAGAGAATAATTAAGAGCAACTTTAAGTAAAGGTACACCTATGTTTAATCTGACATATTTTTAAATATAAATTTACAGACAGTGCAAATATAAAGAGGGCTGTTTTACTATGTACACTGTAATTCATTCTTTGAGATTTGCACCTCTAACTTCTTTAGCTATATCAATTATACTAACATTTTTAAACAACTTAATTTTAAAGTTCAATTTGGACATGTTTGTTTTCTAAATATACTTTAAAATATCCCATGCAGTAGAGAAAACAAAAGAAAAAATTTTAAAAATACACTACTTCATATAACAAATTACTTTTTAGTCTAAAAAAATAATGTAAGTAGTTCAATTTACAACAGTAATATAAATGTCACTTTTTAAATTGAATTCTTGAAGCTATATTTTTTCCACTTCATCATTTCAAATTAATATGGGAGAAACAACCATTGCTATTATTAGAGATCTCAGTGAGTTTCTCAACTCACTTTTCTATTTTAATTGCATTTACAAGTGTAAATAGCTCTCAGCACTAATTTGTTTCTTAAGCAGCTTTTGAAAAGGAATGAATTTAAATGTAATTAAATGAATGGATACTTTTGAGGAACTGAATTATAAGGAATTTCCAAATCAGTTCAAAGATTTCTTTACAATAAAAATTCTGAAGGCCAATGTCACATAGTAATTATTATGAAAATTTCCTTAAAACATGCCTGAAAGATACCCATGTCACTTTTTTGGTGAAAAGGTCATTACTATTAGAGAACCAATACCTTACTTGGCAACCATACTGGTGTATTTTTTTTTTTAAAGTACTAGGTTCTTCTGGATAAGATTTTAGAAATTTCTGTATGAACAGTGGCATTTTACAAAGTTAAGCTGTTCATATTGAACAGTTATTTTTTTCTCAGATTTTTTTATATAAACCACTTATATACTTTGAAAACCCTCCCACTAACCCATCTGGCATGCTATCCCCACATTGGTTTTCTTTAACTCTTTCATGGTAATTCTTTTATGTAAACTTAGTTAAACCCAGAGAAACTCAAAGGCTACTAAAATGTAAAT